GGCAATGCGGCGCGCACGCCAAGAGAACGAAGGACTGCGATCACATCGCGGAACCAGAACCCACTGCGGGCGGGCGCCGAAGATGCTGGAGCAAGCGGCAGATTTGGAGCCGACAGAACTCCGGATGTCCAATCAGTCCTGCGACGCGCAGAGCAGATGCGCACCGCCAGGAGGCCCGTGGCCCTCCTTCCGAACAAAATATCCCACCTCCTCTTCCTCAGCGTTCTCCTCCTCTTCCTCCTCCGCCGCCCTCCTGCGCAGGGGGGCAGAAGTCGCACCTGGGTGTTGTTGCGTGTTCAAAGGGCATGTCTGCGGTGACCTCACCGTCTGGGTTTACGGCGGCGCGAAAAGACTCTGCGAGCGTAGCGCGGCAGCGAAGACCTGCAGACAAGTCGCATCTGCTCAGCGCGGCGAAACTACGCGATCTACGCAAAGAGCCGAACGGCACCAGCACCGCCCGCTTAGCGGTTGGACGGCCCGCCGACTGCAATTGTTGAGGTTATTTGACGGGGGCGGCGCTTGGACGCATGATAAGCGCGCGTGCGACATTGCCTTGCTTGCCAACTCACCTGCCGTTGCCGCCGCCGCCGCCTGCGCAAGTGGTGCATGTGCGCAGGCGTGCGCAGTGCGTGTGCAGCGCGCTATGCGACTGGACGCGGCACGCGCGCAGGCGGATGCACGACGCGCGCATGGCAAGGCATGGATGCATATGACATTTATGAATTATATTACATTTGTTATACGCATGAGAATCGCCATGCAACCTTCGCTCAGAACTCGAATGCGTTGCGAGAGCCTGCCCGCAGAGATCCACGCAGGAGTTGATTAGGTCCTGGAAGGGAGCTCTCAGAAAGTTTTTTTCCAAAAGAAAGCGTTCGAACTAATTCTCTCGAAAAAACTTGTTCGTAAAGTTGTGTTTTAAACAATAGGAAAATCAACGAACTAATTATTTCGAACGAATTCTTTCGAACAAATTGTGTCTGAAGATTTCCGTGCGGAGGTGGGTCGGTGGTGGGATCGGTCCGACGCGACCTCTGACAGCTGCCTCACTTTCCTCGGATCGGTGGTGAAATCGGTCAGGCGCGACTTCTGACAGGCGGCGTTGCTCTCCTCTGCGGAGCCAACATGGCCGCGCATGCGGCATCGATGCCCGCAGGTCGCCTCTCCTCCGTCTGACTTCGCCTCCACCATTCTGCCTATCCCTTCCCCCCTCTGGAAGCGGTGCCTCCTGTACAGGAGGTTGATGTGATGATGCTCATGATTGTGACGACGTGTTTTTGTTCGTGGCGCGCGGCCGCCAGTGCGTCGCAGGACGCGCGCTGCGACGAAGAGACTGCCTCAGGCGGCCTGCGCCTTGCCGCCGTCTGGCTTGGAGCCGCCGTCGCCCTTGTCCGTGTCGTCCTTCTGTTTCTTCTCGGAAGGGCCGTCGCCGACGCTCTGCATGTCGGGTTTGCGCTTCTTGCCTTGGTCCTCCTGCTCAGCGGTGGAATATGGAATCTCTTTGTCGGCGGCGGAGGTGGACTGAGCGGCAGGGTCTGGGCTCTCTAGCTCAGCAGCACGCTGTTGTCCTGCGGTGGCGTCGCGCGCTGCTTGGGCTGCCTGAGCTTGCCCCCTTGCTCTTGCCCGATTCTCAGGGCCCTCCAAACCCCCGGGCGTCGTCGGGGCGGGGCGAGCAGCGCCTGCTGCCTCATGGCTGGGGGCCGTCGGCGTCGGCTGAGGCAGCAGCTCGATGGGGGTCGTCGGTTGCGGCGGAGCTGCCTCCTGGCTGGGGGTCGTCTGCTGCGGCAGTGCCGCTTCCTCCGTCGGCTGCGGCGGAGCCGCCTCCTGGCTGGGAGGGGCCCTGCGCGCGCCCCGCGGAGCCCCTTTCGCAGGTGGTCGGCTTTGTTTCCCGCGCAGGCGTCGCAGCTCGGTTTGCGCTGCTGCTGCAGCTGCCTCGGGCGCCTGCGTCTCTGCCGCAGCCTCTGCGGTGGCGGGCTCCTCCTCGGTGGTTGGCCCCACTGGCGTTGCCATGCCGTCGGCGCTGCTGCTGGCGGCGCCCTGCAGCTCTCTTTTCACGGTCTGGCGGATCCTCTACATGTCGGTACCTGCATGGAGTTGATCTCGCATTCGGAATCAGAGTCGTCTGCAGCCTCGCCCTTCACTGCAAGCGGGTTCGCTTCGGATGCCGCTGATGCCGCTGCTGCCGCTGCCATTTGAATTTCTTCTTCATACGTCAGCGGCCACTCTTCTGGACTCTCAGAGTCGGTTCCGTCGCCCCCCCCCCCTCCCCCCTGTGCCTGCCACCTCGCATTCTGCTGGGGTGTCGGCTGCGCCTGGCTCTGCTGCTGGGGTGGCTGCCGTATACGGCGGCGCTGGAGGGAAGGTGTGCCCCCCCTTCGCGGCTGCGTGGCGCGCTGCCAGGGGCGGTGGCGGCGGCTGCTGCCCTGCAGCGGTCTGCGGCGGCGGCGGCGGCGGCGGCGGCGCTGCTCCTGATGCGAGCTGCGCGCTGGGAAACGGCAGCGGCTGCAGAGTGGCCTGGGGCATCGCCGCCTGAGGCCAGGCATGCCGCGGAGGCGTGTACGGCATCACGATCACTTGCGGTTGCTGCTGCGGCTGCTGCTGCTGTTGCTGCTGGAGCGTGCGCACGACCTCCTGCGCCACCTCATGCGCCGTGGGTGCTGCCGCAGCTTGCCTTCGCGCGCCCATCATGTCAGCATTCGGCGGGGCTGGGCCAGTTTTGCGGAGGTGGTCTGGCGGTGGAGCGGCTGGCGGGCGGGGGCCATACCTGGGCTTCGGTTTCAGCGTTGGCGGTGGCATCGCTGTCGGGCTCTTTGGCGCAGGCTTCGGGGAGCAGGGGAACGCGGCGTCGCCCGGATGGCGCGCAGGTGCCGTGCCAACCTCGAAGTGCACGATGGGGGTCAGCCATGGGCCTGCAGTCTTGGGGCCCGTGGGTTTCGGCTTCGGGGGCGCGGGGATGCGCCCGTGCTCTGCGATCTCTGAGGCCTCGCTCTGCTCGATGTGCTGCCACCACCTAGGAACGCCCTCCTGTACAGGAGGGGCGCCCCTGTACAGGATGGCAAGAAGGAGCTAACAACGCAAACCATCCTAAGCTAGTTGCAAGCCGATCTCGGCCCGCGGCCGCTAGGTGCCGCGCTCTTCTATCTTCCTGCCCTCGTTCTTCTTCGCGCCCTGCGTCTTGTTCGGGAGCTCATGGAGGCCGAAGGTTGCGCGGGGGCGGCGGCTGGCTCTGCTCCAATCCTGGCACTTCAGCGAGAGGCACGAGCCGCTGCCGATGCATCTCATCTCTCCGCAGTGCCTGCGCTTGCTTGGCGGGCGGCGCAGGTGCATGCCGAAGGGGGCCTTGCGCAACCCGCCAAGCTGTTCATCCTCCTCATCCTCCCCGTCGTCGCCCGCGAGGTTGACGCCGCCGCCCCTGGGGTCGTCGCCGCTCTCGCGGGGGCCATCTCCCCCAGGCGGGCCGCCGCCAGAGGGGCCATCTCCACCAGGCGGCGCCGCGCGCAGGCCGACGCCCATCGCCCGGCGGATCTCTCTCTCCTTCCTCCTCCTCTTCCTCCTCCTCCTCATCCTCCTTCCTCCTCCTCCTCCTCCTCCTCCTCCTCCTCATCATCATCATCGTCCCCATCTCCCCCCCCCCCCCCCCCTGCGGCCCTCTGCCCGTGCTGCCCGCGTTCCCCCCTTCCCCCGCCCCTTCCTCTGCCGCCAATGCAATCGCCTTGCTGGTCAAGGCCAGCGGCAGAGCCAGGGGGGGCATGGCTGCTGCTGGCGGCATGCCTCGCGGCGGCCTCGCTGCTCGGGCAGGCCCGCCCTGGGCCCTCGCGCGCCCTGCCTGGGCCCTCGGCGGCCCCAGAGCCGAAGCGTCTTCAGGCAGGATCAGTCTGGAGCTCTCTCTCCCCGGCGCCCACTTTCTCCCTTCCCAGCGCCCCCTTGCGCAGGAGGGGGGGGGGGGGGGGGGGGGGGGGGGGGCTGTCGCAGCGCTTCCGTATAAAGCTAAGCTGAACAAGCTGTTGATTGAAAGCACGCTACCAGTGTAGACGTAACCATATCTACGACACATATATGCCCATATCTACGATACATATACATATATGTAGCAGAAAGCCAACTGATATGTATTGAGCGCACATGTTTGCGGCAATGCGCGCGCGAGTGCGCGCGCGTGCGCGGTCGCCGTCGCCGTCGCCAACGGACGCTCGTCGCCGCCCCGCCGCCGCCGAACCTCGCCTGCATGGCGCGCGCATGCGTATTCATGCGCGCTCATGCGCGCCGCCCCCGAAATACCAAGTTCGCCTGCAGTCGGTCCGCCGCGCCAGCCGCCGAGCAAGAACGGCCTGGCGCCGCTTTCGCCCCAGTGAATCTATGGCGCGCACCGCGCGGCACCCCCCGCAGAGAATCCAGGATCTCGTTGCCCTTCCGCTTGCAGAGGGGTCGGTTGTAGCCGCGTAAACGCGAGCCCCGCCAGGGGGCCCCCTGCGGGGCTGTCTACGAGGTCAGGGAACGCGTGAGGGCTGCGCCGAAATGCTCACCATTGCGGCGGAGATCTGCGCCAGCAGCTTACTTTTGTTCTCATGCAGCAATTTCACGAGCTCCTCCGCCGCCTTCATCTTCTCCTCCTTGCTGTAGCGGTCGGATTTCTTGCCGATAGAGCACGCCCGACGTTTGTTGCCGAACTTCTCCCGAACGGCGCTGCGCCCGCCCCTCTTGCACCACGTCGCGGTGTATTTCCGCTCGGGGGCAGCCGCTGCAGCGGGCTTCGCCTTCTTGACCGCGGGCGCCTCCAGCTCCCCCACCTCGACCTCGTCGGGCTCGGGCTGCCCCCCCCCCCGTCGCCCTCGGCGGCGGCGCGCCCCTTCTCGCCCCGAGCCCCTGCGGGCTTCTTCGCGGCAGCGGCGGGTCTCTTGAGAGGCCCGCCCGTTCCCTTCGTCTTCCTCTTGGACCGCGTCTCGTACGTGGCGTTCGGCACCTCCGTCTCCCCGTCGTCTCCGTGCACTTTGGCCGCGCGCATGCCGTCGGGCCCTGGCGCCAACTTGTACTCCGCGGTCGTCGCGCCGCTCTGCCTTATCAGGGGCGTGCGGTCGTAGTCGACTGTGAAAAGTTTGAACTTATCGTTCTTCTTCTTGTCGCCCGTCTCGGCGGGGGGGTTCTTCCCGGGGGCGGCGGCGCCGCCTGGCGAGGGCGCGATGCTGATGGGGTCGCTCAGAGGTGGCCTCAAGGTCCTCGCGTTCAGCGGGATGCCCGTCGGAGCCTTCACGTGGCACGCCTTGTAAATAGATCACGGGCTCGTCGCGGACCCGCTGGCTGGGGTGCTCGGAGGCCGCGCGCGCGACGGTGATCCGCTCCTGCTGGGGGCCCTCGCCTCCCAATCTCACCGACCTGCTTCACTGCGGGGTGCTACCTTGATCCGTCAACGGCCCCCCTCCACTTGGCGAGGACGTGCGAGAGAGCAGCCGAAAGCTGCCTCGCATACATGCTGGCGTCATCTTTGGGCGTGCCGAGCTTATGGGTGATCGCATATCGCAGTTGAGGCTCTGAGATCCGCTGCGCGATCTGAATGGCACCGCCCAAGAAAGCCATGTTGTTGGCGACCGCGTCATCCATGTCAGATTGGAAAATCTGTATTGCAAGTACCTCCTTCTGGCATGACTCCACCAAGTTTCTATGCTTTCCACCGGAGCCGCGTTCTTCACCCGTTCCTCGGCCATGATACGACGCGCAAGAGAAACATGCGATATTGGATAAAGATTGGATGGGCTGGGACCGCGACGGCTATACGGATCGCGCGGTTTCCTGTGCCTCCTCTGTTCCCTCCTGTAGAGGAGATGCGACGGACCCGACGCCAGCGATTTTTGCGAACATGCAGACTATGTTGGAAAAGCTTGTTTGCGCTAAACAGGAAAAGCTTGCTTGTCTTAATTAATTAAGGAACTCAATTTCTAATTAGCGCAGGTACGACCCTCAAGGTCGGTAGCGCACATATTGTGCAGTTTGCTCGGGTCTGCTGCCTCGGGGGCACCACTTTGCGCAGTGTGTTAGGGTTTGTGACATCGGGGACGCGAAGATTGGGCACTTTACGAGGATGGTTTCGGGAACGCGAACCTCACGTATTTTTAGGCGACCCACGCTCCCCACAGGAGGAGGGGGAGGAGGAGCAGGACCAGTGTAAACCCAACATGTGTCAACGATGTTGGGAGAATCCCTCCTTCAAGTTTCCTCTTCATCGGCCCCTACATGGGTTCATGTCCACTGAACGAACTGCATCGTTGTGAGAAGCTTTTGGAGACCCTGAAGCATGCCAGAACACTTATCTCGGGATTCCAATGCCACGGATCAACCTGCATGTTGCGATTTGATGATCCTGAATCGCGCCACAAAATCTTTCCTGGGACTTCAACACCGCGAATCAACGTAATTGTGGAGCCGTCACAATCCTGAATCCTTCCAAAAGAACATGTCCGATACGCTGACCATATGAATCCGTGAAGCGCTTCCATGGTTTAAAACGAGTATGCGCGGCGCTAAGGCGAGAGCCACATTTAAAAATCGAGCCGCCCTCAATCCGACAATCTGCTGCATTTGTTTAGGGCGGGTGTGCGCGGCGTTGAGGCGAAAGCCACGTAATGAAAACGAACCGCCCTCAATATTTGAAGCTCTTGCAATCTGTGAAACGGATATGCGCGGCGCTAACGCGAAAGACGTATTTTGAGAAACGCCCGCCTTCAATCCGTGAAACTCTTGCAAATGTTTAACACGAATGCGCGCGGCGCTAAGGCGAGAGCCACATTTTGGAAACGGCCTGCCCTCCATTTGCGAAGCTGCTCCCATGTGTCAAGTTCCAGGGTCATACATGGTGAAAAAGTCTCAGGCGAAGCGCGTGTCCCGCCCTTTGAGCCGGCTTCGGGGTGCGACAGGGAGGAGTAAATCAAAAGGAAACAGTCTGGAGGAGGAGGAGGAGGAGAAGGAGGAGGAGGAGATGAGGAGGAGGAGTGCCGCCGACGACGGCGAGGAGGCCGCGCCCCCCCCCCGCAGGCGCGAGCGCGGCGCGCGCCGCTGGGCTGCGGGAGGTGGAGGGCGTGGTCCTGCCCAGATTCGGCCAGCGGGACAAGTTAGGGCGACGGCGGCTCGTTACGAGCACGGCGGCGGCGAGGACGACGGCGACGACGCTATCTTTTCGCTTCGCGAGTGGCAGAAATATCCGTATCTGCGCCGTGGCGGTTTGGGTTTCGGGGCGCGATCTTGCGGATCCGAGGTCGCACGGATACGTTCCGCGCGGGGCATCCGCGAACAAAAACGTTCGTATCCGCGGAGTCGCGATCCAGGGGCCCAGCCCGCGAGGCCGCGGACACGGATATGTTTTTCGCTTACGATGGCCACTTCTTTTCCTTGTCCACGCCCGTCCGATGTCTTCTGTCGTTTTTTACTCCACCTCATCCTCCTCCCCTCTCCTTGTTCCCCTCGTCGTCGTCGTCGTCGTCGTCGTCGTCGTCGTCGTCGTCGCTCGCACTTCCTAGGCATCCTGGGGGTGAGGATCCTGCGGCCGGGCGGCGGCGGATCTGCGGCCGCGCTCGGGGTGGTGGACACAGGCGCCGGGACGGGCGAACCCCCCCGGTCGCCCTTGCAGTCTCCTTCTAGCGCGGGGGGTCGTATCGGCGGCGAGCCCAGGGGGGAAGCGAGAGGGGGCTGGCCTGCTCAGAAGAATCGGAAGTCTTCCAGCCTTTTGAGAATTTTTCTAAGCCTTCCCCGAAGACATTGAACATTTCTCAGAAAGCTGAAGCGCTTCTTGGAAACTCCGCCGCCTTCTGAGAAGCCTTCTCTTTCACACGTCACCCCTTCGCTCGCCGCCGATCGTAGAGTCCAGGCCTCCCAGATGAGGTCAGAGTAGGTCGGAGGATCGCGCCGCATCGAAGATGCATCAGCGATGCGGCTCGATGCGGAACCCGATTTTCTCCGCGCCGGCGTTGCAGATGCATCGCCGACATCGCCGATATATCGGTGACACGTCGAGGGGGGGCTACCCCAAGATGGTCGTAGGGAGCGAACCCAGCTGGATGCTCACATTTCCTTCGGGGGCCGTTTGGTGCGACTTTCTTTGATTTCCACTTCTGCCTCTGCCCCACGTTTGGACCAGAGCCCCCGACCAGAGCCCTCGCAAAAAGTAATGCTAAAACCTCCCATCCCCTTGTTCTGTCTCCTCGTCCCCCTGTGTCTCCCCCCCTGGAAGGAGGAGAACTGACAAGGAGGGCGGATGATAAGGGAGGGACGGATGAGGCAAGGAGGAGGGAAGGAAGGAAGGTCGGCCACGCGCAGAGGGGGGTAGGGGGAGGGGGGAAAGCTTCTCAGAATCCCCCTATGCTCCGTAGACGGCGCGGGTCTTGTCTGTGGATGTAAGGCCCGCGCCTCCTAAGAAGCAGCCTTCTTCTGCTGGCGGCCTGCCGAGTGCCGCCATGCTGTCCTTAGTCCAGGGCCCGCGGCTCTTGCTGCCTGAGCCGCTGGAGCCTCTACAGGCCCTCGAAGCCCTACACTCCGTCACGCTGGTCCCGGGCAGGTTGTGCTGTCCGGCGGAAGGGGACGAGGAGGGGAGAAGCAGGCAGACGACGACGAACGCCCAGGCGGAAGGCCAGGGCCGGCGGGGCGGCGGGCAGGCAGAAGTGGGACCAGGCGGAGACATCGGGCATGCGGCAGGAGGAGATGAAAGGGATGGAAGCGATGAACAGAAGGGGAGGGAGGAGGAGGACAAGGAGGACGGGAGGGGAAGCAACCGCAAGGAGACAGGTTGGGCCAAGTGCCGGGAGAGCAGAGCCACCCGCGACGAGGATACGGACCCAACGGCGGCGACCTGGGCGTAGTGGCCCACCGAGCCCAGTACGCTAGCACATTGCGGTTTGGTGGGGGTTGCCCTCTGCGGGGTCCATCCACCGCCCCGCCGAGAAAAGGCCGGACGGCGCGCGTGAGGGGTCGCCAGCGCGACGCTGGCGAAAGGGCGCGGGGGGCGCCCGTGTTGCCCAGCAGGGGCGGGGGCGTGGACGGGGCGTGCTGGGCAGCGCTGGGGGCACCTCGCACGACGTCCGCCGTGGAGGCAGCCGCGGCCGCGGCCAGTCGGGCCGCTGCTACCCCCGTTTTTGTAGACTGCGTCTGGAGGCGCCGCAACACCGCCCGCGCGTTCTCCTTGCACCGGGAAACGGAAAGTCGCCTGGGCGTGCTGGTCCGCAACCAGTGCGGCGTCGTCCCCCGTGGCGTCACCCACCCGCCTGGTCGGGGCCCCGAAGGCCCCCCGTGCCTCGCGGCACGACCCGCCTCCTTCTGAGAAGCCTTCCCCCTTCCCTTGCCCCCGTGCGCGCGCCGCCAGGGGGCAGGGAATGTGGGGACTCGCCCCCGCTGGGCCCTCTGGGGTTCCCCCCCCTCCCGCCCCCCCGCAGAAACCCCCGCGTTGCTAGGACGTGGCGGGCCGTTCTGACAGTGTCTCGGGAATCGTTTCCGTTTTGGGTTTCGGTCGCAGCGGAAATGTGACGAAGACAGAAGGGACAACGAAGCCAACGCGAGAGCGAAAAGCAGTGTTGAGGTCGAGCCCTTCTCACAATGTGGCTGCCTGGGCTGCGGTCCCTCCTCCCCGTTCCCTCCCAATTATTTTGTTCCCTCCGCCTGCTCCTCCTCCTCCTCCTCCTCCTCCCGTTTCCCCTCCCCTTCCTCCTCCCCTTCCTCCTCCTCCTCCTCCTCCTCCTCCTCCTCCTCCTCCTCCTCCTCCTCCTGTTCCTCCTCTTCTTCCTGCTCCTCCTCGTCCTCCTCCTCGTCCTCCTCCTCCTCCTCCTCCTCCTCCTCCTCCTCCTCCTCCTCCTCCTCCTCCTCCCCCCCCTAGCCGTTTTGGCTCACATGTTTCTGAGCTTGCTGTCACCGACACTTCAAAACGGCTGGGTGGCAGCGGGCCTTTTGGCACGGTCACTCAATGCGGCGCACTTGCGATGGGCGGCACTCGTGGCGGCGGTGGTGGCGACAACGATCGCGGCCCTCGCTGGACATGCCGTCATTGCGGGCGCAAGAAGAACGAATCATTCTACCAGTATTGCAAGCATTGCAAGAAGTGGTGGATAGCCCCTGTCGAGTCCGCCCCCGCCACCGACAGGAAGGCCCGCGGGGGCCTTGGAGCCCTTCGGCGCACCGCTGTTGGAGTCGCTGCTGGTCAAACGTCCACCACGCCCGCTTCGTCATCTGCCCCATCGCCTAGTAAGTCGAGTCTCGAGCAGCTCGTGCACTTGTGTGAGAGAACGGGGAACCAGGACATGCTGGTGCAGGCGCAGAAGGAGTTGGAGAAGCTCAAGGCGTCCCCGGTGCCGCCGCAGGAGCCAGCAGACAACGCCCACGAAGAGATTGCGAGACTGGAGAAGAAGCTCGCTAAGGATCCCAAGGTCGTCCAGGCTCTGGAGCAGAAGCCTCCCAACCTACGCGGACAGCTGGAGATCACTTTGGCGGAGCTGGAGAAGTACGACCTGGAGCGCAAGGCAGCCATCTCGGAGTTACACCTCTCGGTCGCCAAGCCAGATACCGACCCTCAGCCAGATTTGCCTTCCATCAGCCTCAATGGCATCCTCGAGGGCCGCCTCACGGGTCTGCAGGTTGATGATGGGGGGCTGTTCGGCCTGGAGGCAGCTGGAGTGGAAGTCTCTCGGCAAGATCTTGAAGAGGCGACCCGTCGGAAGGGGCAGATGGCTGATCAGACCAAGAGGTGCTGCACTAAACTTTTCGCAGGAGCAGCGGGCCGAGGAGCACAAGGCAGCCCACAAAGCCCAGCAGGACCGTATATTCGGCCAGAAGCGCAAGGCGGACGACACGGCTGCTGCTGCGGGCCCTGGAGTTGCTGGAGCCCCAGAAGTTGCACCTGCTGAGTCTGAGGCCGCCGCAGCCAGCGCTGGTGGTGAAACCCCAGCTACAGCTGCTGCCGCCATGCCCATCGGCGGCTGGCCAGCCGCCGCCGCCCGCAGATAAGCCTGCGGCTGACGTTCGCGCCGCCGCTCGTGAATCAGTCCAGGGGGGCGCTGTCGGCGCCGTTTTGCCCGAGACGCCCTCGGGGCCACCGCCCAAGACCAAGTCGCCTGGGCAACAGCGCTGCGACGGACCCCTCTTGCCCCATGACCCCGCCCTCTTGCCCAGTTTTGGACGCGCCAGACCTGCCTGGACATCATAGGTCGCAAGTTGAATATTCCTGGGTCCAGTTGGGCATGGAGTTCGCCACCGCCACTTGCACCTCTTGGGTTTCCATCAAGAAGCTTTTAGCCCTTACGACGGCGCACGTCGCGCTGCGTCAGGAGCACAAGCTCGTCAGCTACGAAGACCGCCGCAAGGCCGAGGCTTGGTGCTGTCGAAATGGTTGGAACGCTCACTTTGAGTCAAGTTTCCTGGGGCCTGGAGGAGGCCCGTCTTCGGGGGTCGGGGTCCTGGCTCGCTCCTTTCCGGGTTTGCGCTACCCCGATTTTGGGCCCTGCGTGACAAGTCATCGGGCGACGGGGGTCCTGGTCCACCTTCCTGGCTAGGCCAGCTTTTATGCTGTTAGTGTCTACCTCCAGGGTTGCGTCGGATTAAATGATAGTAATAGGGACATGTTGGCGAGCGCGGCGGCTGGGGCTAATGGCCTGGCCGCCCCGTACGTCATAGGTGGTGATTTCAATCTGGAGCCGTCGATGTTGTGCTCCTTTTCTGTCCCTGCCAGGCTGGGTGCGGAGGTTTACTATCCTGCAGGTGTCATGGGCACCGGTCAGTCTATTTCGGGAGTCCACATGTATGATTATAATTACGTTGGCAGGAGCTCGAGCCTGCGTTTCAGGTTCCCCTGCCGTTCCGCAGCAGCAGGGGGCGCCAGCCGCAACTGCGCTGGGTCAACGTCGTCGACGCGTCTCACAGGTCTACGTCTGGTACTTCCAGCACGTCTTTAGAGGCCTCGCGATTGAGATGGCTGTGCAGCAGATATCTTTTGCGGCTCCAGCTTCGCGGTCTGGGAGCGCAAACCTCCGACCATCAGATGGCGCCCCCCCTCGCTTTGCCCGCGGTTGTTTCGAGAAGAAAACATGGTCTCAGAAGGGAGGGCACGAGCTCCCACTTTGGCGCGCCCCCCCCCCCCCCCGAGGGGCTCAGAACGCAGCGCCTGAGGGGGGCGGCTGAAGAGCTGTTGCACCCACCTTCTCGGTTTGGCCAGTGGGTTGGGGACGCTTTCACCTATGGCCTATAGCCTTTCCGACCGTTGTGAGATTCAAGGGGAACCCATGTTGATGCTCGATATGGTCTCCCAGGCTCTGGCTTTGGCCGAGAGCAAGGCCAGGCAGGCCGATCATAAGAGCTGGTTGGAATGGACCCGTCACAACATCGAGAATGGTGTTCGCCGCGCCCATGGAGTTATTCGGGGGGCCTCGGGTTGGACGCCCGCGACCACCCTGAGCGCCAGAGGCAAGGTTGCGTCGGGCCCCGGGGCCCTCTTGCCCTCCGAGCTCGAGAAATTTTCGCGGTTCTGGCACGCGGAGTCCCAGCCTGAGGCCCCGCATGTCGGCGCTGTGATTGAATATTTGGACCCTCTCCCCGAGCTTTCGGTGGAGGGCGTCCG